TAAATGAACTAAGTGAAAAGGGAACTTGGTGACGTCGTGCAACCACGGTACCCTCTCGGAGCGAGATTCCTTAATGTCCCGAACGACGCCCAGCTGCCTTGAAGAGATCCTTTTTGACATTCAACGCATCTTGCTCAATCTGATCAATGGAATCCTTCTCCGACCGGGTTAAAGGGATCACATCGCCATTTCCACCATGGGGCCAGGAATTTGCAACACCACAAAGTAATCAACATACCTCGGTGCAGTTAAAGTACGTTTGGAGTAAGCATGCCTGCCATAGCGGGGTCGATTTGTGCTCGCTCGCTTTCCGGCCATGAGTCACCATGTGATCCCGCTTCGTGGGAGGTGAGTGGTTATAAAACGGATGGATCGCATGATAACACTGAAAGCCGTGGAAGACTCTGAGATGCTCTAACTGCGCAGCCCTACGCGCAGGTTTGTCTTCTCGCAATTGACGCTTTCGTCTTCAGACCTTAACGATTGAGCGTAAGCTCAGTGAGGCTTTCAAAAGATCACCTGACAGGCGGTGGGTGGTCGTCTCGTGAGTTTTGGAGGTGTTGCGCGATACTTCGGGCCCCCTGGAGGCGATGCACGTCTGGCACTGTGGCAGATCAGAACCTGGTGGTCAGAGTTGTATGCGAGGTCGCAGGCCATGCGGAATGGCAACGAGACGTTCTACGGTTGCAAGATCGGGATGGGAGGCGGGGATGAGGAACCAAGAAATCCCCCTTTGTGAAATCCCTTTTATAAACTCATGTGGGGGTCGTGTGGGGTCTTGGGGTTATGTTCCCAGACAAATAACGGCCGTGCCCTCCTTTTATGCCATGAAAGGGCCCTCGCATAAGGGGTAGGGTAATTTGTAAATTAATAATCTGATTTCTTGAATATATAGTATTTTAATAATAATATATAAGGATTGTTTCGAGATTATATAAATTGTAAATAAAAAGAATTATTTCGAAAAGGAAATGAAAAACTCCTTTTATTTCGGATTTTTTAAAATCAACCTTACCCTTAATATAATCCTTAGCCTTTATATATATAATTAATTCAATATATTTTCATACTAAGTAGATTATTAATAATAAAGATTGATATAAAAAAACTTATTGTTTTTATATACTTAATTTATCTAATAGCGTTTTATAGATTAATATAAAGATCTTTATATATTAAAAACTAATTATAATAATATAGAATTATACTCAAGAATATTATAATAAGTATTTATAATTTAATTTCAAAGCATTAACTCTAATCAATATAAATTAATTAAACTATACTATAGATTTTAAAGATTTTCAATTAGAATTTCTAATTATTAAAGAAATATCTTTTCAGTATTGTTTTTGTATAATTTATGGAAATGTTATATTATATTATTTAATAAGATATCTTATTATCTTTTTTTAATTTCGAAATATACTTATATTAATATTAATATATTCTTAAAATTAAGATTTTTATTAATAATTTATCAAAATAGAATAATAAAGTATTATCCTTAAGTATTATTGAAAAGTATTGTTATATTGATTTAATTCAATATTAATATTCCTATGAAATTTATAAAATATTTGAAGTTTTTAATTAAGAAAATTATAATCTTTATTGATATATACTTTTATTATATTTGGAAATAAATTATATATATATTCTATATATAATATGTATAATACATTTTCTTTTGATATTATATAATCTGATATTATATAAGATTTGAAAATAAGATTGATTTTAATCTTATAAATATAATATAAATATTTGATTAAATAAATTTGAAATAAATACTGATATATATAATAATCTTTTCAACCTAATTATTTTATACATATTTAAATGATCCCTTCTTAAATCCTCTACCTTTTTTCTCAATCTTTTTTATACATTTATCTAATACTTCTTTCAAAATAAGTTTAATAAAACTTTAACATAATTTAAACCATCTTTTCATTATTTAAACTTAAAACCATAAACAAGAAGCTAAATTTATAAAAATTTAAACATTTTACAATATACAACTTTAAAAATAATTTTAATTCAATCATTATATCATTCTTAAAATTAATTTTATAATTATTACCCTTTATATTATCTAAATTATAAATTAATAATCTATATAATAATATTAACATTCATTTAGAATTATATAAGATTGGAAATACTTAAATTCTATTATTTTCCCTAAAATATAAAGTTTACTTCATATGAAGTGTTTCAGAAATTAAAAAATATATTAAATAATAATATTCAATATTATATTATATCGAATATATTTCATATAGTATATATAAAACATAATAGATACAAATAAAATTAATATAAATCAAATTATCCTAAAGAAATTATAATTATAATCCAAAAAGATAATATGAAGAATATAATATTTTAATTCTTTCATATAAATTATATATAAACTTAATTTAATACAATTTTGTTTATTTTTTTAAAAGATATCTTTTCTTATTAGATTTAATTTTATTATTTTCTAATTAAGTTTAATCAATTATTAATTAATATTAAGTAAATTTGATAAAATATATATAAATAGATAAATTGTTTGTTTCTATCTACCCTCTTTATATAAAAAGGAAATTATTATATTTATATATGTGTATTATCCTTATCCTTTCATTTATATTATCAATATTGAAAAAATAATCTTTTTATTTATTCATTATAAAATTTATAATCATTAGATATAATCTCTAATAAAATTAAAGATTTGATAATGAATCTAATAAATTTAATATTATTCAATTAATTTAAAAACTAAATATTTGATATTATCAATATAACACTCTCAAAATATAAAAGAATTTATAAATAATTCTATTATATTTGATAGATAATAAATAAATAATAAAATAATAACTTTATCAGAATTTAACAAAATTATATTGTTCGAAAAGAATAATATTAAATTTGAATTGAATACTACTAATTCTTATTCTTTAATATATATCATAATAAAGAATAAGATATAGATTAAAATTAATATAAAAGTTGTCACTATATTATTGATTATTCTTATTCATATAAAAGCAAATATGAAATTATACTAAAATAATATAAGAATTTACATTTCTTTAGAAAAAACATTAATTTTAATTTAAATCATATATTATAATTGAAATCAAAGTACTAGGCTCTTAATCTATAATATTATTAATTAATATTAGTATCACTATGAGAATAATAAAGTTAATAAAATACTATAATTTATACTATTGTTTCTATTACTTAATGTTCTAAAAGCTAGAGCTACGAAACATATTACTATAAGTCGGGTACCCTACTTTCGGGCCATCCCTGTTTTAGGCCACTCTTTACCATTAAAAATCTCAAAAAATGGAATTTTTAACTTTCTTATTTATAAATAGAATTTATTGAAAATTTGTGTATATATAATTCAGATTGTTTTGAATCTAATCTGAAAATTTTAGATTTTTAGGATTTTTCTGTATTGAAATCTAAAGCTTCAAAATATCGATTTTTTAATTTGTATGAGAATCACATATAAATTTAGAACTTTTATAAAATCTTTAATAACTTTTTAATAACAATCATTAAAAGAAAACTATATATCTTTTTGAAAGTTTTGAGCTTAAATCTATATAGAAATTCAAAAAAAATTCAAAAAAATTAACTGATATAAAGATATAGTATACAGTGAGTTTGAAGTAGTATAAATAATCCCTGCAATTTTGAGGGTATTCTTTTAAATTTCTATTTATAGGAAATTTTCTTTTTTTTCTAAATCCTTCAAAATAAATATGTTATAAATTTATAATAAAATTTTATAGTTTATTTTTAATAATTTTTATTAAAAAGTTATAAAGATTTTATAAAAGTTTCAAATTTGTATGTGATTCTCATACAAATTTAAAAATCGATATTTTGAAGCTCTAGATCTCAATACAGAAAATTCCTAAAAATCTGAAATTTTCAAGCTAAACTAAAAATGATCTAATTATATATATATAAATTTTCAATAAATTCTATCTATAAATAAGAAAGTTAAAAATTCCATTTTTGGTGTAAAAAGTGGCCCAAAAGGGGGGTGGCCCGAAAGTAGGGTACCCGACTTAGTATCGGAAGATACTAGTGTCAACGCTAGTGTAATCACATGATCCCTATCGCAATAATTATATTACCTCTAACTAAGCATATAAAAAGATTAGCTTATAAAAATATACTTTTAAATACAGAGATTCGTACACTTCAAAAGGCAAATAAAGCATTAAGTAAACAAAAAGCTCTTGATATATTATCTCAACAAGAGGTTGATATTCAGATTCGATACAACGAGTATTAAAAAGGAGGGAATTCTAATAGGAAAGCATTTTTTAATCGAAATTATAGTAAATGAGGAAGACAAATCATAATGCAAGAACTTATCAAAATATTATAATAGATCCTAGATTATTAGAGTCTTTATAGTTTTAATCAATCGATTCAATCGTTGTTGAATAATATAGGTTTGAAAGTATAAATTCAAGTAAAAGTGATCCACTCGGTGATAAACCTCGTTGTGACTTTTCAAAATAGTTTTCTAGTTGTATATATATCACTGCGAAATAGGACGTCTTTATCATATAAAAGGTTAGATAATAATAAGTTCGAAGTAAACAGGTGGAGTGAGAAGGATCATCTCTAGACTTATATAGGATTATGAGCGAGAGGTTTGAAATAAGAACTCTTGTTTTATAAGCTTGTTTTATATATCACTGGGCAGTGGATTCAAGGGTTACTCTCAATGAAATTGAATAAGAAGTAATTATTGACATTTGCTTGATAGGTTTAAGCTTTTAAGCGAGCTAGCCGAGTACTTTGCTGCCGTAATACCACAAAGATATCCTATAGAGACGTTGTCGAGGACTAGCGAACTAATATAAACGATGAGCGACTTAACTTGGCCACATTACGGAAAGCCTATGGATCATTCTTAAGGGATAAACATACCTGGGAGGGATACTCAATCAGCATTCTGCCCTCTAACCTACAAACCCAGAAACGTTGGCGATATTCAGGGTCTTTCCTGCTGGCATGGTGCACCATCCGTCGTCACCATTGGGAGGCTGGTAGATGTATTTATCGCCGTTCTTGTAGACAACAGTCAGTCCTGAGACGCCACCGCGACCAGGCCCATCGAAATAAATCTGTCCGTCGTCTTGGAGAGTCGCGCTACCCCCTTGCGCATTCCAGCTCCAGTGTTTTGGGTCGGAATTGTAGAATCTGAAGCCCCTTTGGCCCTCGATATTGCCTGATGCGCCGGGGCCAAAGTAGGAGCATGGGCTGGCTAGGGCTGAGGCCGTGAAGGCTGCAAGGAGAGGCAGAAGTTGTTGGGATGTGAGCTTCATTTTGACAATTATCGGGTAGGCGTGGAAAGCGATATGAGACTCTTATGGTAGGAGTTACAGGAATAGTAGCAATTGCAGAGAAGAGGAGTACTGTGAGGTTTGATGAGAACTTTGTGAAATGCGTTTGTTGTTAGACTATATATACGTTAGGAAAGTAACTCCTTAATCATCATGCGTAGGCTAGGCAGGCAGTTAACCGTAGTACTACCGCCATCAAATGGATAGTAGTGGGATTATACTTTTAGCTTTGCTGAGTAATTCGTATATCAATAGAGATTCTCCAATCTTAGCTCATTTTGAGAATATACTATTTCTATGCTCTAGTCTAGCTACCAGCCTCGCAAATCATCATCTTGGCTTAAGCGGCAGAGCACTTTGCGGATATTCGAGGTGACAGGTATTTCATGCATAGCCTAGGTATACTAGTCACATTCGGATGCATTAACATTACAATAAGCTTAATTCTGTTCGTCTAAACTTTAATATGTTGTCAAACGCGCGTTTCGGCGAACAAGCAAGTGGCCGAAAGTGAGTACCGTGCACACCATCAAAATACAGATGAACCTGACTATCCCCTAGACCGCTAGTTACGGCCGGGTTCGCTTATAATGCCTTATCAGCTAATCAAAGTGTTAAAATCTAAAAGGTTTTAATATAATAAATTGTATTTCTTTCGAAGATGAAATATAATAGGATTTAAAAACTTTAAGAAATTTCTTTATATGAATAAAATATATAAATCTATAATAAACCTTTTAATCATTACTATTCTAATAAAATCTAATAAAAATTTCAAGTTAAATGATTTTTATATTTAATGTAATATATAAAGTTATTAATGTTCTTACTCATATATGAACTATATTTCCTAGTCGTAACTAACGGTCTAGAGGATAAGCCTAAATGTCTATATATAGGAGTTACTTGTATATATGGTTTCAGCCTTATACATTCAGCTTTCTCATTTTCATTAAATCTGTTATATTAATTTATGAATTCATCATATAATAGATCAAAGCTTAAGTCATTACCATCATCTTTTATAAGGGCATTTGGAAAATTAGGATCATTTACTCTTAAAAAAAAACATGCCCGTTTAAGTCAAATTTATCATATACATTTTTTGGAGATCTAAAAGTATGCTTGTATAAAGGGGATTACCGTATTGTACGTGCCCGTATATCTAGGTTCATCTATAATACGTATTGTTAAGCACTCAGTTTCGACATTCTTTTCTTCGTCGAATAGAACGTACTAGCGAGGAAATTACGGGAACTGCCTTAAATTCCCAATCAGAAGCTATCAGCATTGAAAAGCAATCTCATTTTATGGAATTAGGAAGTATACTTGCAAACTTAAAGCATCTGTACCATATTCGCTCATTCAATCGTTCAAATGGCGGCAGCAAGCTGAAATTCATTTTGACGGATCATATAGCGAAATAATGCCACCGCGGAATCCCTGGTGTCACAAGGATCGGATTATAAACGGCGGATTCAGTGTGGTTTTTACATTAAAAATGATATTGTTTACGAAGTCAGGTGTAGCGAGAATAGAACTCTATTCCCTTTGGATAGAGGCTTGGAGAGCGAAGGAAGATAGGGAATACCACACCTGGTTGACGATAAAGGGGATGTCTGCTTTTGAAACTCTAAGCATAAGAAAGACTAGTCAACATATTATCAGATGATCATGTCATTATGCAGAACCATACTAACTCAACAGAGCCGAAAGCAACTGTAATTACAGGCTACACTTTGTGTTTTGCGAATCGATTAAGGTTTATTCGCAGCTGTGGCCCCTGTATGTGAGGAGAAGCACGGCCGCTTTTTAGTGTGTTTTAAAACACACTTAGAGTGCGTTCGGACATATTTATTTCAATTATTAAACATCGTTTATTTAGTAAATAATATAAAATAATATGTTTATTCAACATAATATATAATGAAATAAATTCTTAGAAACTATTTAAATTCGAATAATTATCTTGTAAATAATTTGAGCTTTTCTTATGTAATAATTGTAAAGTTCGATTTTCAAGCTTTACAATTAATATTTAAAAGAAAATCAACATTTCGATTTTTTTTTAATATTTTCCATTATTTCTATTTATATTACTTTTATAAAAATCCTAATATATATTTTATATAATTATAAATATAGTATATAATCTAGATATTATTCAAATATATCAATGTTTATTAAACATTATATCAAGTCAAACATATTAGGAATTGAAAATTTATTAGAATTTCTAATAACTTATGAAATTTCAAATATCGAGATAATATTCTACATAATTTATTCTAATTCAAACAGTATATATACTCTATTAAAATATTTAGAGTTATTTGAATTATTTGACAAATAAAATTAACTAATAATTAAGCTCTGATAATTTCATAAAAGTGATCCGAACGCACCCTTACCCTTTCAACCTTTATTCCTGCGGTGACGTTGATATACGAGTTAAATCCCTTGAGCAGCATGGAGTTACGCTTACTAATGCGATATCGTACGAGATTACTCGCGAAATAGTACTTTGGAATCCCCTGAGTCCCCGCATTTCTGCCATAACTGCCGCTAGAGCGCTAGCGCCGCCTAGATCCGGAGCCTGCATGCTTACTAGAGAAGGATTCAGGGCTGAGCATTAATATCAATAAGGTTTCTCTACATAGAATGACAAGGATGATTGTCACGAGATAATTTATAAAATTTATTGTTGGCACTTTCCTGCCGTTATTACATATCGTTAGAAAGTCGTCATTTGGCAAGTTCCGTCGAGGACAGGATGGTATGTTGGGCGCAGCGCCAAGTATGAGAATGTGTTTAGTCGCATGAATTTCGGTGATCAGAAAGAAGCATATGAAAACATATCACATTATATCTGTGAGTCCAGTATTAAGAGGCTGATGAAGTACTTAAAGAGTCTCATTTCCCATCATTGTTTCTATCCAGCACTCTTAAATTGACATCTTTACAACCACTTCGAATACTATTCATCCGACAATCATTACTCAATAATCACGCTCAATTTAATTCAGAAATACTCTGTTCAATCATCAAGATTACACTTCATATCAGGTAAGTGCGACTTGGGCTATTGAAAGACAAAAAAAGTCTGACCGAGTATTATCTCATAGTTCAATATGGTTCAGTTCGGAAGCACACTTCTACCTCTCCTGATGGCTGTGGCTACTGTCAGCGGTTATTCCTGGACGCAATGTACAAATGCAGACCGGTGCGACCTTGCGAGCGGTGGAGGCTCAACGACAGTAGGCGGTCAGAATAACGGCCGTGAAGGCCAGCGTTTCCATTATGTTGGCGGCTATGTCTTTACTTATGACACATGCTCCGATTTTGTCTACAGAGCCGGAGATGGCTACTGGTATTCACACGAGAAGGATGGACTCTTCGTCTCCCCAACTGGATATGTGCGTTTTGCTCATGATTGCAACATGATGGTAATCAACAACAAGGCTGCAGCTGTTGGCGTCACATACTGGACAAAGAGTTCAGGAGCTGACTGCTGCCTTCCCGATGAGGTTGGTCACAACATTTTCAGAGTTGGGGCCTATTACACTGGTAGAGGTGGTTAGAGTTGCGGTTATAACAATCACTACCACAGAGGGTCTTTATCTTTAAGTTGTGGCGAGGATTCAGACCAAGGGCCATATGGAGGGGGGGGACAAGCAGCTAAAGAGGGTGTATGAAGGGGCGTTGTGGGGGGTTTATATATAAAAGAGTCTCGAATCTTTACTTTCTTTAGAGCTTTCGATACACTTGTATACTATTTAGTAGTGTTGGTATCATCATAGGGGTATTAAAGTCAATATAGTACAATTCAAGCATTCACATCATGACCTCTGACATTTCATTTCTATTTCCTATAATTTAATCTTCGTAACAACACTTAAAGTTCTAACAACCAGAACTACAAAACCTGCATATCATAAAATGAAGGTACTAGGGTTTGCGCTAGTACCATCATGTAATGCCTATTCCAACAACTAGGCCTAGGCGTAAGCCAATAATTATTGACTAGACCCCCAACTCCTAACTATTATTCCAAGGATTTTTTTGATGGTCAGTACTAGTGGTGACTATAACCCTAAGGGCAGTAATGACCCTAACACCCTCCCTGTGGTGACAAAGTTAATATTACAGATGAAGAGAAATTCAGTATAAATCCCTATACAAATTTCTATTATATATATAACGATATTAATCTCTCTTTTGTTATTAATGAAATATTGGTTTTGTTAATAATGAATATTATCAATACAAAATGTAATCTATTTATTATTAAATTTTAATAGAAAAAAAGAAAATAAGGGTCTTTAAGATTCTAAGATCTTTGAATATTAGAGTTGTAGAAAAGGTGGATGGAAGAGAGTGTGTGTAGAGGTTAGGAGAAGGTTATAGAGGTGAATAGGAGTTAAGGAAGAGGAGGAGGGGAGTGAGTATAGGGGCTAGAATGAATGAAAGATATTAGTTTAAAGTTTAAAGGGGGGTTTGTTTATGAATTGTAATATTTTATCTTTAATTTATTCTTTAATTAGAAGTTTTATTATTATATTATATGATGTAGAATATATTAAATAAATAGTTTGATTTTAATATAAATAAGATTTTTTTATTTGAAAGTGATTATTTTAAGTCAAAAGTTAGAATTAGCTTTTGAAATTTAATAAATCCTAACTATTATTCTAAGGATTTTTTTGGTGGTTACTATTAGTAATGACTCATTTCGATAAGGGGGTAATAACCTAGTTAAAAACCCTCTAATTAGTTATTATTCTTCCTAGCTTTAATTTGAAGGGTTTCAAAAATCCGAAAAAAGAAATGAATAGAAATTCAATAGGATTATTTATATATGAAATTAGATTTTGAATATCTTTAATATTAATTGATTTATAAAGATTATAAGAAAAGCTAGATTTAATAAGGTTATTGAAAAGTTATGATAATTTATAGAAAATAAAGGAATAATAATTAACAAAAAAGTATTAAAAGTTATTAATTAGTTACTATTTTTTTTTAGTTTTAATTTAGAGCTTTTTAAAGATTTAAAAAAGGAATTTATAGATATTTAATTAAATTATATTTATTTGAAATTAGAATTCGAAAAGGTTTAGAATTGAAGATCTTATATTGAATTGAAATAACCCTAATTTTGAAGAGATTGAAAGGGTTGAAGAAAAACTATAATAATTCTTTAAAGGTAGGGGGAATAATAATTAGTAAAATGGATAAATTTAAATATCATTCTAAATCTAATCCAAAATGAAAATTTAATTAATATTTTATAATAAATTAGGGTTTAATTTTATTTATATATTGGATTTTGAAATTAAATTTTAATTATCTTTTAAATTAATTGATCTATATTACTTCTAAAAAAGCTTTAATTCATAAAAACAAGAAGATAATGATTAATGAAAAAAAGGTTATTATTCTATATGGAGTAATTATTATTATTATTATTATTATTATTATTATTATTAATAATATATACATTTAATTCTGAATAGTTTAGAATTAAAGAATCTATAGGAAGATAGATAAAAGCCTAAAAAGAAACTTATAAAATAACTGTAACTATTATTCTATAAACTTTTTTAATAATCAATATTAATAATAATTATAATCCTAAAGGAAATAATAATCCATATAAAAAATCACCATTTAATTATTGTCTTTTTACCCTTTAATTTTTAGTTTTTTAAAAATTAAAAAAAAAATGAATAAAAATTCAATTGAATTATTTATATATAAAGTTAGATTTTTAATATCTTTAGTATTAATTGATTTATATTATTAATTTTAAAGCTTAAGATTAATAAGGTTAAAGAAAAGTTATAATAATTTTCGAAAATAAAAGAATAATAATTACAACTTTAAAAATAATAATAATTCAAATAAAAAGTCATTATTTAATTATTACCTTTTTACCCTTTAATTTTAAGTTTCTTAAAAATTAAAAAAAAAGTAAATAAAAATTTAATTGAATTATTTATATATAAAATCAGATTTTTAATATATTTAATATTAATCGATCTATATTATTAATCTTAAAGTTTAAAGTTAATAAAATTAAAAAAAAATTATAATAATTTATAAAATAAATGAATTTGGTTATTATTTCCTTATCTTTTAATTTTAAGCTTTTCAAAAATTTAAAAAAAGAAATGAATAAAAATTTAATTTAATTATTTATATATAAAATTAGATTTCTAATATTTTCAATGTTAATTGGTTTGTATTATTAATTTTAAAGTTTAGAATTAATAAGATTAAAGAAAAGCTATAATAATTTTTGAAAATAAGAAAGTAATAATTTACAAAATAAATGAATTTAATTATTACTTTTTTATTTTTCAATTTTAGACTTTTTAAAAATTTAAAAAAAAATTTATATAGTAGTAGTAATAGTAAATTCATAATCGATTTAATCTATATAGTTATACTAAGACCATGCGATACATCTATATGTGTATTTAATTGAATAAAGTAAATAGAAAAAAGATATAAAAACCTATCCCTTTTCGATGTTCTATTGAATTATTTATATTATATAACGTAACGTATGGGGAACTCGGACATATGGGGAACTCGGACACTTTTTCAATTATTCTACACGCGATCTTGTTCTACGAGCCACACAATCCTCCAATTCCAATTCCGAATCATTTGAACTATTCTCTAGCTCTTCTTCTTCAATCTCTTCTTCTGATTCTTCAATTGGGCGTTTGCGTGGCCGTCCTCGTGGCTTTTTCTCCTTCGGTTTTTCCTCCGCCTCACGTACCATTTTCAATACTTCCTTAGTACTAAAGACAAATTGACCTTGTAATTTGACTCTTTTGCCTTTAGTTCTTTTCTTTCGAGTCTCAATTACCTCCTGAGCATCAGAGAGCTGTTTCCGAAGTAGGGCTATCTCAGCATTTTGAGATTCTACAAGCCTAGTCATTCTCTTGGCATATCGACGAGTTGGCGATGCAGGAGAACCACTGCTTGCTAGAGCTGTATTAAAGATCTGATTTGCTTGCCTTAGTTCTGTTCCATCTGGAGGAGAACTCCTGAGTATAGACAAGTCTAGGTCTTGATTGGGGGTTCTCATTTGTAGAGTAGAAGGTTGCTGGGAGGAGTTAAATGGTAATGAATCGAGTACTTTTCGTGGGGCAAAAGGTACTAAACCAGCTCCTCTCCAGCCAGCTTTAATATTAGAAGAATTCAATGCTTTTTTTCTAATATTTTGAAAGAGTTCTACCCATTCAGCTCTTTGGATTCGCTTTACACCAGCTCGAGAATATCGATCGACCTCTAAAGCATGATATCGTTTCATTGGCCCATACACCGCAATATCAAGTGGCTGAAGCAAGTGAGAGCAATGAGGAGGTAATATAAGTAAATCAATATCATTATCTATACAGAAAGCAATAAAGCTACCTGTAATATGGCTTGAATGGCCATCCATGATCAAAAGTCGAGGTCGGTCACCTGACACTTTCTTGGATTCTGGTTCGAAAACCCTTTTTAACCATTCTAATCCATGGCTATTTGAGGTCCATCCATTTGTACTAGTAGAGAACTGCCAGCTTTGAGGTGTGTCCTTTGGAATCCATGCAGAATTCGTATTCTGAGCCTTGAAAATGACCATAGGTGATAGAGCATTTCCAGCTGCATTGACACATTCAAATGCAGTTATCCATTCTTGCTTGCCAGCTGTAACTTTCCAATTCGATTTCTGAGTAGAATCGACTATAATGCGCGTACTTTGAGTACTTCCAACTCCAAATCCGGTTTCATCCATATTATACATATCATCTAATTAATTCATACTTTCGCTCAATGAGACGCGTGCGAAACGCGTCAAACCAAGCCTGAATATTCTCCGGAGTTGCTTCTTTAGCCCGATTAGACTCTAATTGACGTGAATAGCATGTTTTAAGTTCTGGATGTCGTTTTTGGAATCTATAGATCCATTCGTGGCCTATAGGTGGAATTTCTGTCGAGGTAGGATTTCGAGATGACGCGACCCGAACGCGTCGAAGACGAATTTCGTCGGCCATTTCCTTCACCAACATAGGTGTAGCAGGGAATCCAGTGATGGTAAGTCGTGAAATCCATCGTACAAGAGTATTTTCTTCTGCGTTTGAAAGAATTTGAGCCATTTCGTGGGTTTGGGAACGTGTTTTCTTCCCAGCCAGCCTATCAGCTAGGGTAGACTTAGGGACTTCAAAATGCTCTGCAGCCTTTCTAATTGATTTAAATTCTTTCAATTGAAGTGAAATTATAGCCTTTTGAAGCTTCTCTTCAATTTGAGCAGATGTAGAAGGTGATTGGGTATGCATAATAAAAGTTATTGCGGTTTCAAGTTGGTGATGGGCTAAAAGTGTCCGAGTTCCCCATATGTCCGAGTTCCCCATACGTTACGTTATTTATTCTATTTAATATTTATAATTTATAATATCTATATTTTTAAAGATAATATCGTTATAATTACTTTGTTTCCATTTTACAAATTAGTAATATATAGTCTATTTCCATTTAGTATAATAATGTAGACCCTCTTTTCCCTCTTTTATAATATAACGAT